CCCCAGCCCTCCTTCCCCAACAGTGCTGGGACCACCCATTAACCCTTGATGTAGCTGTGGGGGAAGTGAGATTTGCCTGGTGTCCCATAATCCTTCCTATAGTGGGAGCTCTCCCTGTGATGCTTCTTCCTTTCTGGCTCCTTAGAGGGCATCAGATCAGCTATCTTGAGGGAGGTGCCCAGTATGATCCTGCCTCCCCAAATCTGCAAGAGGCTTTTCCTGGAGGGGCAGGCCAGCAGCCAATATCTATGGCTCCGTGAAGAATGGACATTTTGGTTTGCAGGCAATTCCTAAACCAAACCAAACTAAATAAATTGTTTTGGATCAAACCAAAAATAATTTCAATTTTTTTTCTACTAAATGAGAAGAAAAACACTGAAGATCAAATGAAATATTTTGGTTGACCTGAAACAAAATATTTTGATTCTTGGCATTTTTCAGTGGTTTTGAGGTTTTTTTTTTTTTAAAAAAAAATGAAAGGACATTTCTAAAGGAAAGTAGTTTTTGAACTGAAAAAATGAAATATTTTTATTTTTTTCTAGATTCAACAAAACCAACACATATTCGAAAAAATGTTTTGGTGTCACCGAATATGCATTTTAGCAACAAAAAAACAGTTTTGGCCTTTCCCCCCCCAGCTCTTCCAATATCCCCAACCTGACCCCGGATCCCCATATGGCAGCAGCAGGGCAAGAAAGTGTGGGGTAGAGGTTCTGGGGAGGGGAAAATTTTGGTCTTCATATGCACCCACTCTGATTTTTTGGTTCCATGATGACTCATGCTGTTCCCACGGACTTCACTCAGAGCAGTGTCCTGGAGCTCCCAGGCATTACTGACTGCCAGCCACAGGGTCAGTTTCTGCTCTCTGTTAAGCTCACATACCCTCATTGAAATGAATGGGATTGTGTTGTGTGACAGCAGAATCTGTGCCATAGGGCTGTGTGTGTTCTCGATGCCAGGACTTTGTCTGATGGGGTGATGCAGCATTTGTGCCTGTGTTTTCACTTAGGTTCCATAATGCAATTTTTTTTATTTTATTTTTGCTTCCAGGAACTAAAAAATTTGGCTTCCAAGCACCCAAACGTAGTGATTCTGCAGCTAGGTACGTCCTCAATGCATCTCTCCTGCCAACCAGCACGCTGCAGACACTGCATGGCCAGCTCTCCGTTAGCTGCTTTCTGATTCGCAGTCTCGGCTCTATGTTCTCTATGACCCTTTCCACATCCATTCTTTTCCAGATTCCTAGCGCCTGACTAGATCGTAATCACTAGTGCAGCTAAACAGACCACAACTTGTTAGTGCACTGCTAGTGTCAGTGGATCGTAGTTCCTCATCGCTGAACAATGCATAAAGCATAAGAGGTGTTCTGCCGTTCATTCCAGCGTGGGAGCAGGACTGGATCATGCTCACCTTTGTGAGAACTGCAGTGAGAGAAGATGACAAACTAAATCTCAGCCAAGCCTAGCGTCTGCGAGAACAGTCTAGATTGACAATAATAGGGTAGAATATGCCTGAATGTTCCTTATACAACATGCCCTAAGGTGGGGTGAGGCTGTCATAGCAACAGAACTCATCTACTAATACATGACCATACAATAGACCAAGGTGTTGAATATATTATGGAATTACTCAATAGAGATTAGGCAATTATGCTTGTCAGACCCATTCCAGTCTTAGTGCAGTTTCCCCATCTTTTAATCTTCTCAAAAATAAATCTCCTTTGGCCTGAATATTCTCAACATTGGTCTCCATGCAGAAGTGGTTTGATTTTTTTGGTCTGTTGTTCATCTTCATGCACATACGGATTTGTTTTTAGGTTGTGGCCTGGGTTGAAAAAATGTCTTTGGCTAAAATGGTTCTGAATTTCAAAGAGGCCACTTGGAGTCACTGAAAGCCTGCTCAGGAGAGGAGCTGAGCACCTACATCTATTGGTGACTTTAACTAGAGTTTTCAGCACCTCTGAAAATCAGGCCCAATGGTGTCTCAAGAGAGGCACGCAAAATTAGTGGACGCTTTTGGCCAATATCATACAGGAAGTCTAAGGCAGAGTTGGGATCCTGACCACCTGGTTCCTAACCCAGTGTTTTAACCACAGGCCATCAATTCTAAATGAATGCTGCAGCTACAGGCTAGCTTTTTCAAACCCTAACATTTTGCTCCTAAATCCATATTTAGGCACCTGAATAGACATGATCTGGCTTTCAGTAATCGATCAAGCTATTAATATTCAGGTGCCAAAATATGTCTGTAGGAGCCTAACTTTAGCCACTCAAGTTTGACCATATGTAGCATAAAACTGAAACACAAGAACACTTGGAAGTTCTCAGCTGAGGTTGTCCATGATTAACATTCATGAACTTACAGTTCATTTGTAAATTAACACAAAGCTAGTTCTGAAAAACAGCTTCAAGTTGGCCAAGAGTCAACAGCAACCCTTTTCATCTCGCCTGCCCAAACCACCATCACATCCTCAGTTATAGAATGTGTAATAATATAATGCAGAGTTAATGAGGATAGATGCAGCCATGAAAGCAGACACTCCAAATCTTCCCTTTTCCCTTCTCTTCCCAGAAGATCCTTCCTTAGCTTGCATCCAGATCTGCACTGTTAGATGTAAGTGGCATTATCTGACTCTAACTTTGCACTTAAGATCTACTCAATAAACTCTTATTGCACTGAAGTCCCCAGTTCAGTAACCTAGTTATGTTGCCAGGAAGGCACAGGTCAGGACTTGCTTGTTGTCAGTTAAAAGAGCCTTGGCACTAGAAAGATGACCTTCCTGGAAATACTTTATGAACTTTTCACCTGCAACAGGAAATCCCTGGCAGGATTTGTGCTCCCTGCGTCACCTCAGCAATGGAGGGCACATTCTAACAGTAAGGTGGCTAAAATTGGGCTTCAGGTTCTAGGCGATCCATCAGTGTTAGGAGTGAGCCAGGCCTCTGCTCAACACACTAACTGAATTCGCTGTCAGCTGTTTCTAGAGACAGGGTTTGAACCATGCTTATAGAGCTGAACCCTTGTTAGGAGAAAGACCAGGTGGAAGATCCTTGAACTATTAGAGATGTGAAAATACAGGATGTTCTTGAAAGATCACCAATTGTTGCTGGACTATGCTAATGTCTGGTTTAATCAGGATGATCTTTTGTCTGACATGCCTCCCATAGCTCCATGGTCCCAAATCAGCATGCTCAGATTCTCAGCCATCTCCATCATGTGGGTCTGTGTTGTTATTTTCTTTAATTTGCCACGGAAACCCACTCTCTCAATTGCATGCTTGATCGGCTACATGTTTGGGTAGGGAATCCAGGCTGGGGCTAGAGGATTCATTACAGATTATACCATGCAGCTTCGGCTCCATCTTTTCCTGTTCTAGCAGAAGTCAGATGAGAGGTGCACGGGCAAGTCTCCTGCAGAGGAATCACCAGCTGAGCAGAATCCTTTGGGCGAATGGGATTAAGGGCTGCTAAACTCAGCTGTCTGGGTTTGGACTTTGGGATGTTTTCCTTTTGCTGTTACTCTGGCAGAAAAGCCCTGAACTTGCGGCCATTGAAGTCAAAGGCAAAAAGCACACATTGGCTGTAATGGTCCTAGAAGGAAGCACCAAATGACTGGCAGCTTCCCCTGTATGTTCACTCTGAACAACGTCCCTGTAGCAAGGGCCCCACAGCACTCTGCTTACTATGCCTCAGCAATTCCAGATCAAGTGTGCTCAGGATTTGATTTTCTAGCTGCCAGTCTCACCATTCACTCTGGGGCCTGAGAGCCAAGCACCAGCACGCGGATTAATGGGGTAGCACAAGCGGAAAGGAGGGCAAGATCTTGTCAGTCGAACTTTACACACACAGAGCGATGATGAAGTGTGAGAGGGAAGGAGCCAGCCTGACTCTCAGATCCCAGGCTAGCAGCTAGAATAAATGGGCTTGACTCTCATTGACACCAAGGCCCCTTTCCAGCGCTCTGGCAGCATCCAGGGGTACTAGGGTAAAACAAGACTCAAGTCCTGTATTGTTTTTTATAACTTGTAAACAGAGCACATTTGCTCTGACGTCAGAAAGCAACAAGCAAGGAGCCCCATTGAGCCACTGCACCAACAGAAGTTTTCAGAGCAGAGCAGCGTGTTAACGTCAGTTACAGCTGGCAGTACATGGAAATGCAGGTAATGCTGCTGTGACTTTGTCTCTCTCAATGTCATTCTTGGCCCTCTGCCACATTCCCAGACCTGCTCCCACTTCCAGTTACAAAACTGTGGGCTGTTTAGATCTTGCAGACTAGAAAGGACATGGTGATTTTCTTGCCCTTCTGTTTTCTTTGCTTCTTTCCTAGTTACTGTGGTCTAACTTGTAGGCTTTGTTTCTCAAGTAACATTAAGGGGCTGACCCAACTCCCATTGAAGTCAGTGAAAATTGGATCCAGCCCTGAATGCATAATATGAAAAGTTTGAAAAACAATAAACACCTCCTCTCTGAACCAGGTTGGTAAGGGGTCACGCATCTCTATTCATAACCCACAACTACCATAACTTTGGTGTATTTATTTCACATAGTGTCAGGAATGGAACCAACCCGTGCTTATAAGCAGTCCCGTATTCTCTCTCCAGAAACTACAGACTCAGCGAGCATCAAGGCTGCTGCAATAAAAGCTGAGGCGCATCTGGGAGGAACTGGCCTAAATTTGCTGATAAATAATGCTGGCGTTATGCCACCAAGCACACTTGAGTCAGCCACTCCTGAAGATATGTTAAGCGTCTATAACACAAACGTTGTTGGGCCACTGTTAGTGACCCAGGTAAGATTCCACTTTTGGCTGAGAATCCTAAGGCTGGATTTTAGTTTTAAAAGCAAGATAATTAGCTGAAGAGATCTAGAATTTCACCCGCACCCCCAACCCGCATTTTAAAAGGAAGTGGCCCATTTGTTTTCATTAGACTAGACTTCTCTGTGTTCTGGTAAAGCCCAGAGGTTCCAGTCAGGCTCAGAGCTCTATTGTGCTCAGTGCTGTACAAACACAGGGGTGGGGGGCGGTTGTCAGGGAGGTGTTCAGAGGAACAGACAGACACAGACCCTGCAGAAGAGTCTGAAGCAGTTGAGGCTTCCTAAGGCTTCCCCTGAATGCTTAGATAATACAAACCTGCACATAGACCTGTTGTATTAAATACCCTCTCTGTTATGCTTTGCCATGTTCCTGCTGCGAAGCCTTTTCAGAAGGCTCTTTTGAGGCACTGTATTCACCACTGCTCTCAGCTCCCGAAGGGAAGACTTGCAGATGCAGCTGGGTGAATTACGGATTTCTTGGTTCATTGACAATTTCGAAAAGTCAAAAAACATTTTGCCTCCGACCAAAAATGGCAATTTTTGACAAATCAAAAACTTTTAAAAAGTCATTTCTGGTTGAATAAAACATTACAATGTTAAGCTTTTAAAATATTTTTAAATTTTTTAAACATAAAATTCAAGGAAATTTTGATCCAAAGTGATTTTGAAAAGAAAAAAGCAAAATGTTTCATTTTTTTCCAGAACGTTTTAGGGATTCTTTCCAAAAAGAACAATTCTGTGACATCAGCATGACTTTGTGAATTGTTTCATTGTCACCACATTTGCATGTAGCACTGAAAACAAGTTTTGGTCGTAAAATTTTGCTCAGCTCTACTTGCAGGTGGTGACGCGGGAGATCACAGTTGGTGCCCAGGGGGCTGTAGCCTGAGCCTTGTTCTGAGAGCTGGGAAATCTCAGGATTCCATCCTGGGGAGGTAACGGCACGAGGTGTAACACCTGATGGGGGGCACTCAGAGACCAGAGAAGGTGCAGCTGCCCTGGTAACAACTGACTCGCTCCATTCACTTTAATGGGGTGACACAGGCCTAACAGAGAAGAGAATTTAGTGCACCCACTTTTTATGCCATTGGTGATCCAGACATTGCAAGCCTCATCTAGATGCTTATTATTTATCAGTTAGTATTATTATTGCTTATTGTAGATGGACCTAGCATTCTACATCTGGTAACATACAAGGCAGAATAGAATGGAGTCCTTGCCCTAAACAGCTTAGAAATATAGTGTTTGAAGGCACAAACAGGTTCAGGACAGACAGTGGCAGGTGTCACTAGGACATTCTAGGTGATAGAAGGAATGGAGCAAGAAGGCTCAGGAATAGGTAACTGGGAAGCTATTCCTAGCAAAAGAGGTGCTGTGAAGGCAGGTGGGAAATGGGGAGTGGGAGGAGGAAGCAAAGGGGGGAGCCGGTTGGGGGGAGCACAGGAAGTGGGACTCAGGTGCAGGCAGATTTAGGTCTGAGAAGCAGGTAAGTTTGTTATCAAGTACAAAGTGACCCAGTGTCTCCCCAGGTGTTCCTGCCCTTGCTGAAGAAGGCTGCCCAGGGAAGCAACCAGAAAGGGATGAGCTGCAGCAAGGCAGCCATTGTCAACATCTCCACTGTTCTGGGATCCATTGAGAAAACTCCTGAAACATTCTCCTTCGTGCCAGTAGTCTCCTACCGCTGCAGCAAGGTATGTCTCCCCCAGGCTAACCAGCCATGGGATAGTCACTGAATCTCATATTTCTCAGCTGCTTAAGTAACCCCAACACAGAAACCAATCACAAAGTGCCAGGACATATGAACTGACCCAGCAATATTGGAAATCAAGGTAATGACCCTTCTAAAATAGCTCTATCTACTATCCCCTGAAACAGAGTATATTTAACCCCCCTGGGAGAGGCTGGGTCTTTGTCCACCTCTCATTACTACTCCATAATAAAAGAATAACCCTCCCTCCCTGCAACACCCAGCGAGGGAAGAGGCAGAGGGAGATGAAGAGCTGTTGGAGCTGCCCCCCTTCAGCCTTGCGGGGGGAGGTGAAGAAACCCAGGAGCTGCAGGGGTATAGTAGGGGCATAATTGATGTGGGGCAGGTGAATGGGAGATGTGTGTGTGGGAGATACCACACTTTTTTCAGACTCTATTAAGCACTAACTCTACATGCATGTTTGTCTATTTCACTCTGGGACAGCATGTACAATATCATTAAAGTTACCATTACATTCACCCACTTTTTCCTTGGTAGCATAACAGGGACCGTCCTCAGCCAGTTACAATCCATCACATTGACCAGGCTCATTCTTAGGCAAGGTGGATGAGAAGCTACAAAGGTGTTGGGAGCCTTTTAGTCTCTCTTTGGGACGTTTGCTGCCCTCACAGGTTCCACCACACTTGGCTCCAATGCTGCTAAGTCTCTTGATCTTACAATCTCCTCCTTCCTCTGCCCCAGAGCTTGTAAATGCCCACCACCAAACAGCCGGGTGTTGTGCTCCCGACAGGCACGTTTTCACCACGAGCCCAGTGCCCAGCTTGGTGGAAATTTCCTCCCACATGTGCACGCTGCTGCTCTCTCCAACAACCTGAGCTTTGTATTAAGACCAATATTTTTCAGCCACCCTATTGCTCATCTGAAGGGTCCCAAGGTGCTGAGCAAACCCTGCAAATGATGCACATTATGTCTGGTGCATGCAAAAGCTCAAGCACCTGACTTAGGCACCCATACACCCCAACACAGGTGCCTGCAGATGGCTTGTGTATACAGCATGTTGGAATCTTTCAAGGGTCATCTCAACTGAGAAACAGGATCTTTATTTCCACTGCTCTGCTGAACATGGCTAGGATTCCACACCCTCCTCCTGCCGAACTCCCATGGAAATGCCCCTCTGACCACTGGGCCTCCCTCTCCCTGCTCTGACCCACCTCCCATGGAAGGCTCCTTCTTCTCTTCTCCCCTCCCCTGCCTTTCCCGTGCCCCAGGATCTTCTTCCCCTGCCACTGCAGCACTTCCCCCCTCCCCCGACCCTGGCTGAATCCCTCAGTTCCTGGTTATTCAGGCGGTGAATGTTCATCATTCCCAGATGCAGCGTCCCACACACGCGAATGAGCCGGGTTTGGTGGGTTGTGCCTGGGGGGTGCTGTGGTTCTGCTTCGGCTCACCATGTGCTTCGCCTCCAGGCAGCGCTAAACATGCTCACAAAGTGCCAGTCGATGGGATACAAGCAAGATGGGATCCTGTGCAGTGCGCTGCACCCGGGCTGGGTGAAAACCGAGCTGGGAAGTGCTCAGGTAGGTGGGCTAATGACCTTCCAGGTCAACATGCAGGTAACGACACCTCCGAGCAGAGAGATTGTGTTGGGAATGATGGGGATGCTCCTGCATTTCCTGTTACTCAGCCTCACAAAACCAACGCATCTCAATCCTCTTGCTGCTGCGCAAGTTTGTTAGCAGGAAAATCTGTCTAGACACAGATACTTAATACAGCAGTAATGAAATGCCTAGGAGAAAAATGCAACATTCACAGAGGTACCAGCAGTCTCCAGGCCACATCATTCAGAAAAACAGGCTTCTGATGCAGGGAGAAAGAGCCTTCTGCAGGACACAGTATTCCTGAGGCTATTCAGGAAATCCAGGACAAGTGCATCTCCACCCGACCTAAGCAACAGTGTGCGGCTAACACACCCCACTGCCAGTGTTTCTACGGCTGTATCATGGAGACCTGCTCTGGGCAGGGTTAGACAAAAGGATGGTAAAAATACTGTGGGCCACTCGGCTTGTAGCTTCCACCAACAGAAGTTGGTCTGAGAAAAGAGATTACCTCCCCTAGCTTGTCTCTCTCGTGCAGGCCAGCTGACACCAATTCCGGGCCCCAGGGCACCCTCACTCACTTTCAGCAGGCTGGGGCAAGGGGTTGGGGTGCAGGCTCTGAGAGGTAGTTTGGGCATGGGAGGGAGTGCGGGGCCGGGCTCTGGGAGGGAGTTTGGGTCAGGAGGGGGTGAGGGGTTGGGCTCTGGGAGGAAGTTTCAGTGCAGGCTCTAGGCTGGGGCAGGGGGTTGGGGTGTAGGAGGGGGCCAGAGGGTTAGCGCTTACCTTGGGCGGATCCCGAAAGCAACCAACACACTCCTCTGGCAGCAGCTCCTAGACGGGTGGACAGGGGGTCTCTGTGCACCGCTGCCCTCAGGCACCACCCCCGCAGCTCCCATTGGCCACACTTCCTGGCCAGTGGGAGCTGAGGAGTTGGCATTTGGGGTGGAGGCAGCAGCACATGGAGATACCCTCCCCAGGGGCCACAGGGACATGCTGGCTGCTTCCAGCAGTGATGCACAACAAGCGCGAGCAGGAAGCCTGCCTTAGCCCCTCTGCGCTGCCAGCGGCAGCTGGGGGCTCCCGGGCCTCTGAGCAATTGCCCCCATTGCCCCCCCCCCCCCCGCCCATCAGCAGGCTGCTCTTGTGGGCCAGTGCATGCTGGGGTGCTCACAATTCTTAGCACCGGAGAAGCGGAAGTGGCCCTCATGCAATGGTGCAAGTCTCAAAATGCAGCCTCAGAGTCATCCTTACTCTGTCTTGAAATCAGTGTTTTCCAACAGTATGGGCCCACCATTTCTATGTATTTGCAGAGCTCCCCCTGTCTGTTTGTCTGTCTAGCCACTGGGATTTCGAAAATGTTAACCATGGGTGTCACTGGCTGGCTGAGCCTTTAAGGGGAGCTGGACCCAGCCTCACCTGTGGCAGAGCAGTTACACACCAGCTGAAATTGATCAGCTAGGGACCAGTGATTAGAAAAGCCAGCAGGTAGCCCAGTTGGCGTGGAGAGCTGCTAGGTGCAGGGAGACTGGTGGGAAGCCCCTGGATCAAGGTGAATTGCTGCTGGGAGCAGGGTATAACTCACTGGCAAGGGGCCTGTTGAAAGGAAACCTTTAGGGAATAGACAGGCCCCCTACAGAAGACCTCAAGTTATGAGGAAGGGACGCTTCATAGAATATCAGGGTTGGAAGGGACCTCAGGAGGTCATCTAGTCCAACCCCCTGCTCAAAGCAGACCAAGCCCCAACTAAATCCTCCCAGCCAGGACTTCGTCAAGCCTGACCTTAAAAACCTCTAAGGAAGGAGATTCCACCTCCTCCCTAGGTAACCCATTCCAATGCTTCACCACCCTCCTAGTGAAAAAGTTTTTCCTAATATCCAACCTAGACCTCCTCCACTGCAACTTGAGACCATTGTTCCTTGTTCTGTCATCTGGTACCACTGAGAACAGTCTAGATCCATCCTCTTTGGAACCCCCTTTCAGGTAGTTGAAAGCAGCTATCAAATCCCCCCTCATTCCTCTCTTCTGCAGATTAAATAATCCCAGTTCCCTCAGCCTCTTCTCATAAGTCATGTGCCCCAGCCCCCTAATCATTTTTGTTGCCCTCCGCTGGACTCTTTCCAATTTTTCCACATTCTTCTTGTAGTGTGGGGCCCAAAACTTGACACAGTACTCCAGATGAGTACTATTTCACTAGGAGGGTGGTGAAACACTGGAATGCGTTACCTAGGGAGGTGGTGGAGTCTCCTTCTTTGGAGGTTTTTAAGGCCCGGCTTGACAAAGCCCTGGCTGGGATGATTTAGCTGGGAATTGGTCCTGCTTTGAGCAGGGGGTTGGACTAGATGACCTCTTGAGGTCCCTTCCAACTCTGATATTCTATGATTCTATGATTCTATGAGGCCTCACCAATGCCAAATAGAGGGGATTGATAATGTCCCTCGATCTGCTGGCAATGCTCCTACTTATATAGCCCAAAATGCCATTAGCCTTCTTGGCTACAAGGGCACACTGTTGACTCATATCCAGCTTCTCATCCACTGTAACCCCTAGGTCCTTTTCTGCAGAACTGCTGTAGCCATTCGGTCCCTAGTCTGTAACAGTGAATGGGATTCTTCCGTCCTAAGTGCAGGACTCTGCACTTGTCCTTGTTGAACCTCATCAGATTTCTTTTTGCCCAATCCTCTAATTTGTCTAGGTCCCTCTGTATCCTATCCCTACCCTCCAGCATATCTACCACTCCTCCCAGTTTAGTGTCATCTGCAAACTTGCTGAGGGTGCAGTCCACGCCATCCTCCAGATCATTAATGAAGATATTGAACAAAACCGGCCCCAGGACCGACCCTTGGGGCACTCCGCTTGAAACCGGCTGCCAACTAGACATGGAGCCATTGATCACTATCCGTTGAGCCCGACGATCTAGCCAGCTTTCTATCCACCTTATAGTCCATTCATCCAGCCCATACTTCTTTAACTTTGTGGCAAGAATACTGTGGGAGACCGTATCAAAAGCTTTGCTAAAGTCGAGGAATAACACATACACTGCTTTCCCCTCATCCACAGAGCCAGTTATCTCATCATAGAAGGCAATTAGGTTAGTCAGGCACGACTTCCCCTTCGTGAATCCATGCTGACTGTTCCTGATCACTTTCCTCTTCTCTAAGTGCATCAGAATTGATTCCTTGAGGACCTGCTCAATGATTTTTCCAGGGACTGAGGTGAAGCTGACTGGCCTGTAGTTCCCCGGATCCTCCTTCTTCCCTTTTTTAAAGATGGTCACTACATTAGCCTTTTTCCAGTCATCCGGGACCCCCCCGCTCCGATCGCCATGAGTTTTCAAAGATAATGGCCAATGGCGCTTCAATCACATCCGCTAACTCCTTTAGCACTCCCAGATGTAGTGCATCCGGCCCCATGGACCTATGCTCGTCCAGCTTTTCTAAATAGTCCCGAACCACTTCTTTCTCCACACAGGGCTGGTCACCTCCTCCCTATGCTGTGCTGCTCAGTGCAGTAGTCCGGGAGCTGATCTTGTTCGTGAAGACAGAGGCAAAAAAAGCATTGAGTACATTAGTTTTTTCTACATCCTCTGTCACTAGGTTACCTCCTTCATTCAGTAAGGGGCCCACACTTTCCTTGACCTTCTTGTTGCTAACATACCTGAAGAAACCCTTCTTGTTACTCTTAACATCTCTTGCTAGCTGCAACTCCAAGTGTGATTTGGCCTTCCTGATTTCACTTTTGCATACCTGAGCAATATTTTTATACTCCTTCCTGGTCATTTATCCAATCTTCCACTACTTGTAAGCTTCTTTTTTGTATTTAAGATCAGCAAGGATTTCACTGTTAAGCCAAGCTGGTTGCCTCCCATATTTACTATTCTTTCTACACATCGGGATGGTTTGTTCCTGCAACCTCAATAAGGATTCTTTAAAATACAGCCAGCTCTCCTGGACTCCTTTCCCCCTCATGTTATTCTCCCAGAGGATCCTGCCCATCAGTTCCCTGAGGGAGTCAAAGTCTGCTTTTTTGAAGTCCAGGGTCCGTATTTTGCTGCTCTCCTTTCTTCCTTGTGTCAGGATCCTGAACTCAAGGTCACTGCCTCCCAGGTTCCCATCCACTTTTGCTTCCCCTACTAATTCTTCCCTGTTTGTGAGCAGCAGGTCAAGAAGAGCTCTGCCCCTAGATGGTTCCTCCAGCACTTGCATCAGGAAATTGTCCCCTACACTTTCCAAAAACTTCCTGGATTGTCTGTGCACTGCTGTATTTCTCTCCCAGCAGATATCGGGGTGATTGACGTCCCTCATGAAAACTAGTAACTTCTGTTAGTTGCCGGAAGAAAGCCTCGTCCACCTCATCCCTCTAGTCTGGTGGTCTCTAGCAGACTCCCACCATGACATCACCCTTATTGCTCATACTTCTAAACTTAATCCAGAGACTCTCAGGTTTTCTGCAGTTTCATACTGGAGCTCTAAGCAGTCATACTGCTCTCTTACATACAATGCAACTTCCCCACCTTTTCTGCCCTGCCTGTCCTTCCTGAACAGTTTATATCCATCCATGACAGTACTCCAGTCATGTGATTTATCCCACCAGGTCTCTGTTATTCCAATCACATCATAATTCCTTGACTGTGCCAGGACTTCCAGTTCTCCCTGCTTGTTTCCCAGGCTTCTTGCATTTGTGTATAGGCACGTAACATAATTCGCTGATGAGTGGCACTAGTTTTATGTGGAAGTCAAAGCTGAAGCTCATAGAAAAGGGCCAAATTACAGACTGTGGGCATGGGTCAGGCCTTCCTGGACAGCAACCTATATACACATGGACATTAGACATGGAAAAGAAGATTCTTTAGGGCAGAAGTTCTCAGACCCCTTCAGGCGAGGAAGATCCAAACCAGTTTCAGAGGGTCACAACCACCCTCCCATCCTAGATGGCCAGATACCCTGGATTTCTTTCTGTTGGAACATGGGGTCACCATATGGAAGAGGCTGAGAACTTCCAGCCAGCCTTGGGTACTTTGTGCTTGGAGAGGAAAGTGCAGCTGTATTCCATCTCACACTCTGACATGAATGTTGCAGGCAGACCTGACGGTGGACGAGAGCGTGAGCGGGCTCATTAAGGTGATTTGTGAACTCTCTGAGAAACACCATGGTGTCCTGATGAGCTGGGAAGGAAACACCCTGCCCTGGTGAGAACCTGGCATGCAGGAGGAAGGAATCAAGCGGCAGCATCTGCGGAGCACTCTGGCATCTCTCTGTGCGTGCATCATGAATAAAAATCTCTACCTGAACTGGACCCAATGCTGAGTCGTCTGTCCTCTTAATTGGCTGCTGTTGTCTCTTCTCCTTCCATTGGTTGAGGGTTGCCAAGGTGATGGGGGGGGGTGCGGGTTTCAACCCCTCCCTTCCTTTCACCTGCCCAGGAGATGATGGGAGGGATAGCTCAGTGGTTTGCGCATTGGCCTGCTAAACCCAGAGTTGTGAGTTCACTCCTTGAGGGGACCACTTAGGGATCTGGGGCAAAATCAGTACTTGGTCCTTCTAGTGAAGGCAGGGGGCTGGACTCAATGACCTTTCAAGGTCCCTTCCAGTTCTAGGAGATGGGATAGCTCCATTTATTTATTATGTTCCCAGTGCAGGACTCTGTGGTTGACCCCACAGGACCCCCAACGGTTGTCTCTTCCCCTGCTGCCCTGGGGCTGACTGCCAGAGCCCTGCTGCCCCTCAATTCCTCACTGTGAGGCAGCCTGGGCTTGGGCTGCCCTCCCCCCACCATTCCCTCAGGGGAAGCACTAAATCTGCATTGCCACCCTTACTTCGGCGCTGCTGCCTTCAGAGCTGGGTGCCCAGCCAGCAGCTGCCGCTCTCCACTCTGCCTTCAGAGCCTGGTGACGATATATGTAGTGGACATGCACCAGCTTTTGTAATCTGAGCAGATTCCCCAAGCACTTTAGACAAACTCATTGGTAAGGATAAAACATTAAAATAAGTTTATTAGCTAACAGAAAGATAGACTTTAAGTGATTATAAGTGGAAGTGCATCAGAATTGATTCCTTGAGGACCTGCTCATCTCATGATGTGTCCTTTATTTTATATTTTCCGTGTCCCTGGAAAGATACTGTCCCAGACATGTCCTGGTGGGCCTTGCTGAGTCACAGAGTTGAGCAATCCTCATTGTGTGGTGCTTGCACAGCTGTCTCTTATAGAATTGTAAATCTCTTGTTTACAATTCCCCTGCTGATCAATGGTTCCTTAACACCCACCTGGGTGTGGGTCACCATCCTCTTAATCACTGGAGAGCTAGCTGTGGGCATCTCCCAAACTCACAAGATATTTCAATAACAACCATATAGCAAAATATCATAATTTCATAGACACTAACGATATCCATATTTTGACAGAACAATGAGTTTCAGCAGATCAGGATCTTCCATATGGTCTCTGACCTGGCAGGGGTGACCAAACTGTCTTCTACCATTAAAGTGTGCCTCGCAGAGCCCCCTCCCCCACCCCATTCCAACCCATTCTTCACCTTCAGACTTGGTGGGCAGGAGTTTGGGACCTCTGACTTGCAACAGGGTGGTGGGGTAGATGCTTCTGCCCAGTGGGGAGGGGAGTCTTGGGGTTTCAGCCCTGCGGGGTACACCTGCTGGGGTTCAGGGCTTCAGCAGGAGCTGGGCTGAAGCCCCAAGCTCCGTCAGGTGCCTCCCACGGGGCTGAAGCCCCGAGCTCCAGCAGGTGTGTCCTGGGTCTCGAATTTCTGAAGGTTGTCATATGTGGCTCAGAGAGTCAGCAAGTTTGGCCACTCCTGTTACATGGCATTTTTGTATGAAATATGACAGCCATATACAAATGATGAATATGGGGCTTACAAGCCGCTACTTTGAGATCCAATGCTTCACACCCCCTATATCCCGTGGGTGGGGGAGTCCGAAGGAAGAAGGACTTGGGCTGGCACCCTCACCCCTGAGACCCTCCTTCAATGTCTGAGGGCTGCTGACGAGCCCCACCACTTCTTCCTGAGGATGTCTGCTGGACTCCTGGCAGGTTATGGGAGGCCCAGGCCCAGGGCCACTCACCCTCTCCTCATCTTCATCCACCTCAGCGAGGCTTGGACCCTCACTATCCTCAAACTCAGATCCTTAATCCACCCTGGGCACCTCCTGTATGAGGGGCTCTAGGTCCCAGTGGGAGGAATGCACTCAGACTCACCCCATCTGCCAAATGAACAGTCCCCACTCTGAGGCCCCAGCTCCTGCCCAGCTGCTCCCCTCTGTGCCTGTTGCAGGCTGGTGGTCCACGCCTGATCTCCAGTCCTGTGAAGACAGAGCACATCTTTCCCCATGGGGCTGTGCTCCGGAGCCCACAATCCCCTGGCAAAACTGCCTGAAGAAGCCCTCACCCACCTCCAAGGCCACTGCTCTCAGTGCCTCCATCAGGGCAGGATGTCCCTCCCAGGCCTGCGGGAGGACACTCCTGCTACCTACACCCCGATTCTTGCTGCCTTGCCCCAAGTGATGGGGGGGAAGGGGCTGGTCGGATCATTCTGCATGGCCAACACCCCACAAGCCCTTCCCCTCCCCCCCACCAGAAGCAGGGGCTGGGGTGAAGCAGAACAGAAGAAGCAGTGCATACACGGGGCCAATTCTCCTCTGCATGGCTGCCCGGGGACCCAATACCCCTCCCTACAGTTGAAAATGCACTGTGTGATTCCTACAGTCCCCACCAGGGGACAGGGGGTGGGGGGTAGAGCAAGTCCTGTCAAGCAGGGAGAGTGGGGGGGGGGGGCACCATGGCAAGAAATCTGGCTCCAGCAGGGCCACTCCCAGCTGCTGTAGCAGCACTGTGTGGCCTCTGGTCTCCTGCCCCTCAAGCAGTGGGGGCCTTGGTTTCAGGCCAGATCTGGGCTGCACCGCTTTGGAACCTGGCGGCCACAGCAGCTTCCCCAAGCAGAGATGGTAGGTGGGGAGCCTATATGGTATCCATCCCCAAGGGGGCACCTGCTTTGATAATGGGCAGAGACCCCATCCTGGGGGACAGGGGTATGAGGATCCCCAGAATCCTTAAGTGCCTTCCTCTGCATCCTGAGGGCTGCTGTAGCTTCAAACTGGTGAGTAACCCTTTCTCCACTTTCTCCCCCGCCCCCCGAGTTAAATCTGGGGAATGCTAGCCAATCAGCACCCCTCTCCCCCAGATGGCCAATGGGTGCCAGAGACTCCCAGTGGGAGGGGCTACCTATGGTTCCTTGGCAAGTGTCTCCCTTGCTGCTGGGACTGTCCTGCTATCACCGCTGGCCCCATCAAGTTCCCCCACCTGTTGGTGCAGGTGGCTGGCATGTGCGTCAATAGCGTTATCTTGATAGGGAGATACGTCCACATGGTCATTCTGCGGCTTGAGCTAGCATCAGCTGAAGGTGACCCCTGCAAACTATTGGGGTAACTGATGGCCAGTGAAACACCAATTGCACGAGGTTTGTGTGTGGGTGTAAAAGCATTTCCTACTCATTAGAGGACAATTCAGTTGACTGACCTCTCTCATCTAGACAAGGACGGAGATTAAGGGGGTGCTGTTTTTTGCTGTGCTTGTTGAGATGGTTTGACACTCTGTACCTCAAAGCAGCACCCTGGAACCCCCGTACTCAACACTGTCATATAATTATGCTATGTTGTGTACAAAGTATGCCTTGTGAGGCATCATTTTAAAAGGCTTGATCTGTTGAACATTAATGTCCTGTTGGATTGTATGTGCTATCATTGTATGGGAAGTTATGAAGTTTTGCTATGTGTGCGTTACTGAAATATATTGTGCGGTTGGGAACACCCACAACCACCTTTCCGGTTCAGAATGGAGCAGCCAGACACTGACGATGGCCCACTAAGGGGAATCCGCACTCACAAGGGCTGCCCCAGGAACTGTATACAATGGAGACGTCTCAGAGAGAGCACGTAGACAATGGAGACTGCTTGACTCATGTCATAGCAAAGGGTCTTTCCACCAAGCTGGAAGAAAGTATAAAAGAGGGGAAGTGACATCATCATTTGTCCTCACTCCACCCACCACTCAACACCTGGAAACACATCTGGAGGACAAAGACCAAACTTGTATGGAAGATCTGTGACCTGCTTGTATTGTCTATCAGGGGGAGCCACTGCTTGATTTAAATCCTGTCTAGTTTATAGAACTCAGATTGCAATTTTACTTTTATTTCTTAGGTAACCAAGGCTGATCTGCACGCTTATCACTTAAAATCTGTCTTTCTGTAGTTAATCAATCTGTTTTATATTTTACCTTAAACAGGGTGTTTTGGTTGAGGTGCTTGGGAAATTTGTTCAGTGTACAAAAGCTGGTGCACGTCCTCTCCACATTGAGGGAGGGGCGGACTGGGTAATAAACGTACACTGGTCAGGCTTCTGACCAGGGCAAGACGGGACAGCTCTGGGGTGCAACGCTGGGGAGCTGGAGGAATTGGCTGAAGCCCTTAGTTCATGAGTGACTAGGAGAAGCATTCATGTAACTCAGCTGGGTGTGTCCCTGCCTGTGGATGGCTGTGTGAGGGCAGGATCTGGAGGGGTTTGCAGTTGGTCACAGCATCACAGTGTGAGAGTGTGCCCAGGTTGGTAAGCCAGAGGGCTCAGCGGTACCCCAGTTCCAGATTGCACCCCAGGGAACCTGTCCCAGGTGATCTAATATAAACCTCACAGATCTACTAAAGGGGGCAGGGGTGGAGGAAGCTGGTTTTATGTCACCTTTATACCGTTGCAGTCGAGGGCTGAACCAGCCCATGCAGCACCAGACGCAACCAGCAGCCCCCCTGCACTGCCCGATGGATGACAGTGCTGCTGCTTACTCCTTCTCCCCCAGCTCACCTCTGGCTCCTCCACACACTCCCAGCATGCACCCTGCACCTGGGTCTAGGGGGCAGAGATGGGCATGTAGGGCAACCAGAGCCTGTCTCTTTTTCCCAGGCTGGCTCAGGGGATAATACAGCCCTTGTATGCTGCCAATGCAGCTGCATGAGGACCATAACAGGACCCCATACTGCACCCCAGAGAGAGAGCACAGAGGTACAGGGGGAGGAAAGGCTCCAGGGGATCTGAAAATCTTAGGATAATAGGCTCTTTGGGCCATGTTTCATTTTGGGGCTGCTCAGCCTGTGGATTCGGGTTTCACTCGAACACTCCACTGTTTATTTCAAGCAGATGTTTCTGGGCTGCCTCAGACTTTGTATAAGCATGAACCTTTGTAAGGAGGACCACAAAGCTGTCAGCCTCCCATGTGATTAGCACAGAAGGAGG